ACTTCATGTTGGACTTTTCACTTTAGAAAGTTCCTGCGAGAGTCATCAGGACTCCTTACGATTCCTGCTGGAGTTTTTCATAAACTTGGGACTCCCGTTGGAGTTTTGCCGGGAGTCTCGACTAGGGTTTTTGACGCTGACTATTATTTTGAAAAGTAAAATATCAATAATCCGATTCTATTGGCCTCCAGCCACGTGTGCTTTCGCCATTTTGAGATCCTTCCGAGCTCTCTACGACGCTTTGTTACCGAGAATTCTTGCAAAATACGAACATTCTAAATGAGCGACATCTGTGAAACGGTGATAGATGACGTAGGTGAAGTTAGCACCAAATTCGAGTAAAAGTTGCCCATATTCGTCTACGAACCTGTTCCAGAGTTCTTGTTCTTGTTCCAGGTACAGCTCGACGAGCTCTGTCCAATGGCATAATTAGATTTTCAATAACTCAAACCATGCTCCAAAAATCCCAAAATAGCGGTATTTTCCTATATGAATATTGGAACCCATAAAGCTGTGATACCAATGCTGGGCATTCTACTATCAGTGATAACATACACCAATTATCTCTTCGTCACATATGGCATTAATGGATTTATTCCAATCGGTACAGTTACTCGTAACGCGTTGAAGAAGGCCTGGCCAAATCAGAGCTACTAGCGGATCAGGATAGTGCGGTCTCATGACTTATATCCCGAACAGGATATTTATCCTGATCGGCATATAGAGTTTATCCTAAACGGGATACATATCTCAATCGGGATATATATCCCGTTTGGGATGTCGTTGTATCCCGATCGTGGTATATTACTAAACATGTTCAAAAGTAATTAAACGTAAATATGATCATCGACTGATTGTCTTAAGTGAGACTTAACAGTCTTGAGTGAAAAGTTAAAGTTTTTAGTGAAAAAATTATTTTGCCTTGAGTACATGGCAACCTCTTCTTTTTTCACATGTCAGGTACACCGCCTGAAAATCCGATTCGTAAAAAAACATATATCAAAAGATGCAGTAAGCAAAATGCTGAAAACTGCAGATCTCTACCTCTCTTCATTCTGAAGTTATTCAAACAATAGCCACGGACACTATATTTTGAAATGGATAGTAGGTTATCATGAAGTACTATGAATTGATCCTCATGAAGTCATATGCAGTTTTTGAGTGCTCTATCCGACGGCGGTTTTGGATTTCAGTAATCAGCTTTTATTTTTTTCGAAAACGAAAGTTTTTTTAAAAAAATCAAAAACAGCCCGTTCCGAATATATTTTATATTCCAATCAAAATATGCGATTTTTGATCGAATTTTTATGCAGTGCCCCAAACGACACATATAGCCGATCCCCATGGAATCTGAATCAGTATTGAATCCTCTTTCAAATAGCATTGTCCGTTTTTTATTTGATTGTTAAGCGGAAGCCAGAAAAATGATTGATTGATTACATAGACCGATCAGGCTATACAAATTATCCCGATTAGGCTACAAATCCCGATTGGGATAATTTGTATAGGCCGATCGGGATTTTACCCTGACTGGAATATAAGTCATAACTCCACACTGTTGTAGGGGAACTGAGGGTAGTCCATACTTCTTTTACAGAAACATTCTTAAAATTTTCTACCAACAATGGACAAAAAAGGATGCCTGCTACCTCAGATGAATGCCGAAGAATGTTTGTTGACCATAGTGGCCAGCTTTCTTGGCAAACAACCCTCTCCCTTAACAGAATTTTCAATTGGCCACTGATCAGATCGGTAGATCCACACGCTCAAGGTATATCTACATATTATATACTACGAGGAAGGGGAGCATACTTCGTACTTCTCGTACTTGTTCATACTTTTAGGTACTTCTGGTATTTCCACCTACCAAAAAGTCAGAATTCTGCCTGTACTTTCCAATTTTCTCCATCCGGACACACTTTTTATGCAATAAAAATAACATATTCGAAGTCAGCGTCGAAAACTGAGTCGAATGGTATATGTTTCGAAAATTTTCGTTGATTTTCATTTTTTGGTGAAAATCTCAGTAATTTTTCGACGTGAAAATTCGAAAAAACCAAAATTGGTCCGATAGGATAAAAGGTATACCATTCGACTTTTATTTAGGAACTGATTTTTTGATACTCAGGATTTTGCGGAAACGATTTTCGCATGATTTTGGGTTTTTGAGGAAAATTACTCATATAAGCTTTTCACATAAAAATATCGGAAATCCGGCTCTTGTACGCCATTTTCATATATTTTTCTGACATTTTAAACCCAACCCGAACTCTTCCTCCATCATTTAATATGACGGAGAAATCTTGTAAACGATGAATGCCCCATTTCGAGCAATATTTTAACATCCTCTGCCGAACACCAATAGATGGAAACTCCAAATCTTTACTGTAACTACTCCTGGACATGACCAACATCCCGTGAAGTTTTAGTCAATATCGGACTAAAACTGACCGAAAAAGCTATCTGACTGGGGACCTTAAACGATTTTTAAAAAGGATTTTCTCAACAAAAATACCATAAGATTTTACAAAAGTTCAATTTGCTTCGTCCATTTAGTTTAAGACACATAACTATTTACATACGTTTTGAGTTCTTATTAGAAAACTCATATCGAATAAACTTATAGTATATTATACAGTATTCTAGTATAACACAACGTTTGGTTCACAAAAAAATTCAAGAATTTTTACTAGTTTACTTCTATTTGTTAGGAAGAAATTATCGTGTCTGATTAACTTCGCTCAAAATAGAGTCTACCATAGCAGACATTTCATCAGTTATATTAGCCGTATTCATTCACCTACTTTCGTCAATATTGAGGTTTAATTGAAAATACGAGAAACAAGTGTAGAAAAAACAACAAAATTAGAGTCATTAAACATAAAGTGTTCTAATCACAATAAAGAAACAAAATACAAAATTCGGAATGAGTATCCATAAACGAAGATGAACTAGGTTTTTTGTATACTATACAAATAGAGAAAGGAAAAGGACGGACCAGTAACATGAGGTAAAAGATACAAACTGACATAAATTATTGCTTTTTTCAACAAACACATGTACCAAGGCATAAACGTTCGTCGTCCTGCGCTCAAACATTTTCAGGCAGAAAAACAATTATAAAAATGAAGCTATACTATTTATATGATGACAACTATTTACAAGAGTATGAAACAAACTATCTGTATAGCTATATTGAAATATCAGACACAAGTTGAAAAACAAAAATAAACTATTAATGAACTGAGTGAATTGAAACATACAGTAAGTGGAGAAAGTGTTCATACGATGAAGACATAAAAATTGTAACGTCATTTTATCATTTGAACAAATAAAGCTAGAAAAAACTTTTTTATCATTCCATAACGCTAAATCTTAACTTTATTCATTGTTAATCGCAGGTTTTTATGTTAAGTTCTTCTGTCGAAAAACAGAAACGTTTAACTTGATTTCTTAACAGTGTTCGTACAATCACTTTTCCACGTCTATTTGGATATTTATCGAACAGATAGAGTTTGTTGGTTACATATCATTCGCTAGATCAATGTCTATGCTACACAATAAAAAATAATGCCGTTTAAATCGCTTTACTTTTCCCGTTTAGTGACGACTTTTCATCCATCAGACATTATTCTGTTTTATTGTGTAGTACAGACATCGATCTAGCGAATGATATGTAACCAACAACTCTATCTGTTCGATAAATATCCAAATAGACGTGGAAAAGTGATTGTACGAACACTGTTAAGAAATCAAGTTAAACGTTTCTGTTTTTCGACAGACGAACTTAACATAAAAACCTGCGATTAACAATGAATAAAGCTAAGATTTAGCGTTATGGAATGGTAAAAAAGTTTTTTCTAGCTTTATTTGTTTAAATGATATAATGACGTTACAATTTTTATGTCTTCATCGTATGAATACACGTTCTCCATCTACTGTATAGAGTTGCTGACTTTTTTCTCTATGCAAAAAATTCTCTGGACGATACACGTGTATAAGCATTCGATGGTGATTTGCGTTCTTCTTCCAAGGCATAACTACCTTCATCTTTTTTACGCATACGATAAATAATAAACATAATCATTAAGACAGCACTCAGTAGACCTATAGAAGAAAGGGAATAATTATAATATAAAAATTTGCTTAAAATAAAATAAAACATACCAATTACAACGCCACCAACGATTCCTGGAGAGAAAAAGATCTGATGATGCATCCGAAATCGAACAGTGATGAGAAAAACTTACCAGCAAGTATACCGGGCTTCGAAAATAAACCTTTCCATATAGAAGACTGGGCGAATGGCAATTTGATTGTTGTATGCATATCTAAATGCAACAAAACTCTTTTGAATAGCGATCTTATCGGATGATGATGCACGTCAAATAGTGCTATTTAGGATAAATCAATCAATTCGGCTACGTCAATAACAAACTTAAATGCGATATACAAACTTCAACAAAAGCTATGACAATATCCATATTATGAACAAGGAAGACAAAATTTATTGGAGTTAGCTATGCTTACGTTACTGAACTGGTTAGAACTACCTAGAAACACTCATAAAACTGTCTTTCATCTAGCCTACCCATATTATCTTTGAATTTGTTGTCATTTTGTTGTTCTGGTTTGATGTCGTTATTAATATTATTATCATCGTTTAATGACGTCTCCGGATAGTCATTTTTTCCATCTTCCGCATCTTGAATCGACGACGAATTTCGAGTATCATCGGAATTATCGGGATACTCTTCATAACTTGCCTCATCATCATCCTCAAAACGTTCCTCGCCTGATAATTGATCACTTTTTTGAGACGATGATAACACTGACGGATATTTTACGGATGATAGTTTTGGTTTTAAAGTTGGCGATAATTTTTGTTGTTGTTGTTGATCACCTGATAAATTTTGTTTCGATGGTATTAACGTCGTTGATAATGGTATCATTTCCTCATTGTCATCATAAAGTTGGAAATCGTCACCATCCTCAGATTCTGGATTCAAACTATCAACATCTCGATCTAACAATGTTGTTGAAGTGATTGTTGACGTTTTATTTCTTTCTCCATTAATACCAGATGCAGACTAAAAAAGCAAATATTAAGAACAAGTAATCCAAAAACGAATAGGAATAGAATTTTGAGAAATATAGGAGAATACATGCCGAGAATCTTGATTAAAAGTAAGGTAAAGAGTCAAATGGTAAAGTATCAATAATTCTTCAAATTTCTTTTGCAATACTAGATTAGAAAAGTTATTTAAGGCTACAATGAATAAATCGTTTACTAACTCGAAGTTGAGCATTGACTATAATACAATATAATATAAGAATAAATATTTGTGGCACTGTCCATTGATAAATATTTTTAGTTACCATGTTGTCGTTATTTGCTATCTTTTAGTATGTATAATAATTGTATAAATAACATCCATCACATAGTATCTGAAATATCCAAAACAACTTGGGTTTAACATAATTTTTCACCAAGATACAATTCTACAACTACAGTTAGTAAGAATTGAAAAAAAACTTTTTTTCATTATGGTCAATGAACATTGCGCGAAGAATTCAAATCTCTTTTGCGTTACTTCATGGCAGAATAAAAACAGAACGTACTGACGCAGAACTAGGATCATGCATGATTTTAAGAAAGAAGAGAAAAATGCATCTTTAACACATTCGTCACGCACTTTTTTTCTTCTTCTTCTTATGCACAAGTCTGATAAAGTTGAAGAAAAAACAAAAAAACAACAACATATTTCTAAATACAATTAGTGTAAAACCGAAAACCAGTTAAACTAATCAAGAATCACTGACATACTGAATAAAGTAATAAAAAAAATTAAAAACATTCCACTAAGGGTAAAATTATCGTCTTGACTACGACTACTACTTTAGTATTACCTTCTTTATTTTCGTGTTACAACACTAGTTAATAAAGTTTAGATCCAGCTTTTTAAAATCAAAGAATTAATTTTCTTTTTTCTATTACAAAATTTATGTACGTTAATAATGCTAGACTTATCTAAACAAAAAATTTTGACATAAATCTAAATTTTTTTGCTTTGAAAACTGATCGATGTACACATGAACTCTTCCTAATTGTTTTATGAAATAACAAAAATGAAATTTGATGCACTCATAATAACAAAAGAAAACTAGAAGGTAATTGTGCTGAATATAAATTGTTAAGACATTTTATGCTGTATGAAATTGTTTAAAGAGAAAATTTCTACAAAAGTTTACAGTATATATATATATATATATATATGACTGCGTTTTAAGAAAATTTGAATAGTTTTAGCAAGACTAGCATACTCTGATTTAGATAAACGTCAAGTTAAAAATGGGGTTCATTTTATTCTAACAGAAACTTTTGATACTTAACTGTACTTTTAAAAGAAAATAGATTTAATGTAAAGTTCACCGTCTGTCACTCACTCATGAATCGATCAAGAAGTTAAGTTAGGAAAAAAAATAAAAATCATTCGTATATCTATCTCTACACTACTTGAATTAGAATTTTGTATCGAGTAGCAATTAATAATTATTAAAATAGACAATGTAGAATGTCAATAGTTAAATTAAAATATGTAGAATATTCAACAACACACATCAATAAAGAAAAATATTTTTTGAGGATTTCTGTATGTTATTTCCGCTCAAAGACTATGAAGTTTGTCAAAAGAGAAAAAAGTATGTACGTATAACCTTTTCTTTGTACTAACTGCTTCTTTTTCTAACATCTTCGAGGAGATTGATCAATGACAATATAAAGAGTCTATTCATTTAAATGTCTATCCCATTCTTATACTAGGAAATTAATGGCTTTTATTGTCGAACATCTCATTGCTTATAGCATGACTGCAAAAACATGTTGTAAATGAAGATCATCTTATTGGTCATAAAAGACAGAATCGAAAAATATTCGTAGTTCTAAGATTCTAGAAAAAAAAAGGTAATCTTGAAAAACTTTTTGTTGTGACCTCGAATTTTGCAGACCTCGAATTTTACCTTAGTCACTATGATTTACACTGATCATGAATAAGAAAAAAAACAGAGCAGCATATATTCACACAACAAATTAGATTTATAAATATATGTATATAGTAATATATAGATGACTATATGTAAATGGGGCTGATACAGTTTACAATTACATATGTTGATGAATGTAACTATAATGTTTGTCCTTCATCGTATTTCATGTATATTGCTGATGGACAAGCTTTCCTTTCGTATTCTTTCTTAAAAGTGCATATATAGTCCATATTTAATAGAAAGAAGTTATTCTCATACATCTATATGCATATGAAAGGAAATCTTATTCACTCTTCCTTTTAAATCGGTCATAGTTCATAATTCCCACAAGGTCATTCATACACACCCATAGTGTGTGAAAATCTATTCTTACACGATGATCTTAGAACCTAACAATATTTCACGTTGATGTTCAAAACATTAATGCACAACCTTATGGATAATCTCAAACAATTTTTAAGAAAAATACATCTGTTAGAAAACAAAAACAAAATTTTTTTTTTTTTGAATAACAAGAAATTTTTTGTTTAAGAACATAAATTTTGCATGAATAGATATAGGAATGAGTCAATAACATGAACTTCTAAGATATATGTGCTATGTACAGAAACTTATGGACGTATTCATCATTTAAAATAGCATATGAAAAAACGGAGTTAGGAACTGCAATACCACTTTGTCAATGATTAAAAAAAAGAAGTGTTAGACGCGCTGATCATAAACTACGGACTATACTGTTTTTCAATACGTTGAAAAATTCATATTTCAATAGAATACTACTTACTCTAACACTTCTTAAAAAAAAGAGTATGAGTTAGTTCTTTCTATAGAACAACAGCTCTTTCTGTCTGTCTCTCTCTCTCGTCCTATGTGTGTATACTCGACTTGAGGACTTGTCACAGAAGAAGGAAAAAGAATAGAGAAAATTTACAATTATAATTATCAAGTTTTGTTGTTTGCTATACAAACATAGAAGAGATGAATATGCCCCTACGAACTTTTCTATTTATGATGGATTATTGTACAATTTTAACACTTAAGCACTTAGTAAACACGAAGGAAACAAACGAAGATTTAATACAATGATCACCGTTTTTCTCTAACAACAATTCAAATATTGAAAAGAAAAACAAAATAAAATTCAATTTCAATATTCTAACGACATAGAAAAGAGTAGACATTAAAAGTAACAGATCTTCTATATTTACTTTAAGTTGACTCATTTTTTTTTCTTTTTTAGGAAATGCTAAAATTCTCTTTTGTCATCAACTTAACTTACTTGAACTAATTTTTGTTTAATGTTCAACAACTATCGCTACGTAGTCGATTCACTTATTGTAGATGTAATCTGTACATAAAAAATGAAAATTGTATCGATTAACCAAGCCAGAGAAAGACAAAAAAAAAAAAAAAAAGAAAAGAAGAAGCCAACATAAACGAGAAAAAAGCATAGATTGAACTGTTCACCATCTATTTTTTTCTCTCTTTTCCTCTCACTCATTCACTCACTCACACAACGATTATTACCACTATTATACATATATTAAATATAAAACTTTCCTCTTCACTTTTCCGATGCTATACGTAATCAAAAATTGTATATATTCTTTTCAATTTTCTCCATGCATGCATATTAAAATACGTAAGTCTAGACAGCTGATGATAGAAAAAAACAGAAGAAGTATCTTGATGACAAATTATGTACAATAAACGTTTATGTCA